ACACAACTGCAGGCTCCACGTTCAAGTACAGAAAGGTGGGAGTTGTGTGGAGTGATAACAGAAAGTAGACCAATTTTTCTCAATGATGTGAAAAGATGTGAAGTGGAGATGAATGAAAAGTAATCAACATCGGTGAAGTGAAAGCTCATTGGAGAGGATGAGGGACCCACGTCCAGGATCCAGACAGCACTCAGAGCCAGAGGAGACGTCAAGTGCAGGATAAGGGTCCGCAGAGGCACCAAGAGAGCCTCCGCCATCCAACCTCCTCCTCCTCTTCCTCCTCCTCCTCCTCTTGACCTCATCCCACAAGGAGAACAATTCCTGGGCAGTTCTCTACCATTCTCATTGTGAGTAGCAACACACACAGGAAGGTAACTGAAACTCCCAACGCAGGCAGCCAGGAAAGAGCTCTCCCTTCTCCCCTCCAAGTAAAGACAAAGAAAAGCCAAACCCTCCAAAAGGTTGGCAAAGAAGCCCACATGTGAACACAGCGGGCTCCCAACCCGTCTCCACCCAGCCCGGTGCTGCCATCTTTCTGCATAAAATGCAACATTTCAGTGACACCATGGAAAGCAGGGAGTCTGTCCACTCTGCCCCGCTGACCCAGGGCCAAGTACAAGGAGGAGTTTGATGAGTAAGTATTTGGTGAACAAATTAACACTGATTTAAAATCTGTTGGAGTCCCAGGGTCCCACACCGGGCAGAGACGTTCCCTTTGTGTTTGTAGAGTGTCACTTAGTACCCATTATTAACAAGGTCTGCCTCTCTAACGTCCACACTGGGCAGCTAAATTCCACTACACTACACCTTGATCTTAAACATCAAATTCACAACAATCACTTTCTAAAAGGGACCGGATTAATTTTTCCCTTATCGGAAAAGCAGGTGGGTCCTGACACTTACACTTAACAGCATCTTTTTCAGTGGATGCACAGATTGCATAGAGGCTGAGGGTGGCTGGGTAGCATGAGATCCAAGGTCCCTCGAGGGGGGCCCCCGAGTGCTAACACAGGTGCCAAGAATCCACCAAAGAGGTTCCCTCCTCACCACCCACACACCCAGCTGCTGCACAGGTAGGACGGTGGGGGGAAAGGGCAAGGCAACCTCAAGAATGTGACACAGAATGACAACTGAATGATGGAGCGCTGGGAGACCGGGTCCCTCCCCCAGACCTGCCTCCTGACCCTTTAACCTTGACCTTCCCAGAACACACGGCCCACCTGTGCCTGGCTGTGCCCTACGCTACTGTCTGGAGCAAGCCACGCCCTCAGTCTAAAACCTCAGAAGCACAACACACAGACACACTGTTCAGTATTTTCAACCCTCCTACTGCAATAAACATGCTCCCATGACCATAAAAAATGGTTCTAAATGTGGAAAGCTCTGGCTTTTGTACAACTGAACTAGATAATATACCAAGGATTGCTACTGAATACAAGTATTCTTGCGTATGTGAGTATTCTGTGATGGGCCAGAATGGTGTAGATGAGTAATAAAGACCTCCCCAAGTCAACACTAGGATCATCCTAGAATATTTATTTTGATCAAGAATCACGTTGCTAAAATCTAGACTGCCACATAATTTATGTTTTATTAATACTGGTGCTAAATTAAAATACTGTTTATAACTCAAAATTTTTAAACAGCTTCTTGTTCTCTTTTAGAAAAACTTCACTTTGTTGAAATAGTAACAAATGAAATTATTAACAAAACCCCTAAAGCAATATTTGGACTCAAATGGACCGTGAGTTTTATTTATCATGTTCAGTCCTTTTAATGGGTTTGCTTAAGTTAAATTATTTTTATCATAGAAAATATTGGAAAATATTTTGATTTTATTAAAATCACTATCACTTATATGGCAATACCTATTGTATCCCAAAGTAGTATCATTTCTAGACCTTAAAATATTTTTCTTAGATTCCATTTCTCCCCCCTCCCCCCCGTACCAGGAGTCAAACTCACGACCTTGCACTTGCCAGACAGGCGCTGTGCCGCTGAGCTAAATTCCTAGCCCCTAGATTCCATTTCTTATGCAATCTAAAGAAATGTGAAGACTGTTGTATTGTTCAAGTTGTTAAACTTTCTCTTCCTTTGAGATGATACTTACAGCAAAATGTCCAGAACCTTGTGTCAAGATTAAAGATTAAAAAGGAATGGCGGTACAGCTTGGGTGTGAAGGCCCGGGGTTCAGCCACCAGGAGAAAGAAGGAAGGAAGAAAGGAAGGAAGGGTGGGAAAGAAAGTTTGAAAGAAAAAAGAAAGGAAGAAAGGAAGGAAGGAAGGGAGGGAGGGAGGGAGGGAGAAAAGAAAGAAGAAAAGAAAGAAAGAAAGAAAGAAAGAAAGAAAGAAAGAAAGAAAGAAAGAAAGAAAGAAAGAAAGAAAGAAGAAAGAAAGAAAGAA